GCATCCCAGTGGGTAGCTCTGGTGTTTCATTGTTATGTTGCTTTGTTGATCCCTGTGATCAGTGAAAAGGATCAAAAAAAGTTTCCCCTCTGGCAACCCTCTGCCTAGAGCCTCTGGGGATCCAGGGTACCTCAGAGTTCTTTTTTTATTTCTTAAATATTTTTTTTTGTATTTGTAGATGGACAGAATGTCTTTATTTTGTTTGTTTATTTTTATGTGGTGCTAAGGATCGAACCTAGTGCCTCATGCCAGCTAGGCAAGCGCTCTGGCACTAAGCTACAGCCCCAGCCCCTTTTTCTATTTCTTATTGATTCCAGGAAGTGTTCTTTGTTTATCTCAGATTTCAAGCCATTGTTGGTTACCTACATTGCAAATATCATTTCCCAAGATGTTTGTGTGACTTCTTACTATTTATTTGTTGAATCATTGGCTCCATAGTTTTCATTTGAATAATGTAATCAGTTTCATCAATCTTTTCTTTTGCATTTTTTTGGGGGGGGTAGGGTTGTGTGTTGAATAAGAGAATTCTTTACCCTGAACTTTGAAGATATTTTGCTGTATCTTCTGCTGAAACCTTTAAGTTTTGCTTTTCATATTTAGTCTGTGAAGATACTTGGAAAGGAGTTCTATCTGTCTGTTTTTAGTGCTTGACAATCTAACACTGCCTGGATCCCAAAAGCTCTTTGGTTATCTGAGTTCTAAATGATGTTGCATGCCTGAAATTAGGAGGCTGAGGCAGGAGGATCACAAGTTCAAGGCCAGCCTTGGCAACTTAGCAAGACCCTGTCTCAAAATTAAAAAAAAAAAAAAAAAAGGCCTGGGGATGTACAATGCCCTGGGTTCAGTCCCAAGTGTCTAAAAAACCATAACCAAACCAAACCCAACCAAAACAGAAGCCTTGGCCCTTTGTCATAGGATTTTCTGGGTGCTGTTCATCATTTGTGAAGGGCCCAGAAGGGAGGCCTGGGCCTCTGGTGGAGGGATGGTTGGGGCTGGGAGGATGGCTGTACAGATGGATGGAGATAGGCAGGTAGTGTGATAGGCACCCCTGGACATCCATCCTGGAGGAATTTTTGAGTACTGTGGCTTCTGGGTTGGTCAGTGTGGCTTTGCCCGAAGTGATGCCCTTGTTGGGCTTACAGTTGGGGATATTTAGGTAAGGCATGGGCTTTTATTTTCTTGATGGCTTTACTCTTATCAGCATGTGACCTTGGGCAGTAGTGTAGCCCATGGAAGCTTGAGTTTTGTCACCTGTATAGTTTAGCTGACATAGTCTGAACATAGGACTCAGCATGTTCTCAGCATATGCTGTGGTCATTACTATGGGTTTCCTATCCATAGCCACACTTGAAGGAAGATGCTTTTTTTAAAAAATCATGGTTCCCTTGACACCTGAGAGAGTACCTGGTTTGTGGTTAGCAGTCGATAAATACTGTTCAGCAGGTTTTATATTATATTTTAAAGGATCATTCATTGTTTTCTGGCTATAATTCACTTATACAATTGATTATTCATGCAATAAATATGTATTGAACCATTGTCTTGTTCCCGTGACTGTGCCTTCAGTTTCCTCCCCTGTAATTCGGAATTTCTGTGAGAGAATGTTTGTAAGGTCTTCCCTCTAATTCTGCGTGATGGTCTGATTTGCTATGTGATTTCCCAGAGTGACCAGCAGGTGGCACCCTAGGACTGAAAACTGTTCCTACAGGGCCCTTGCCCATTCCTTGGAGACCTACTTTTGATGCCCCAAGATAGTGCTGTGTTAGGAGGGGAGAGCCCAGGACCGTCCAGGCAAAGGCCATGCAGAGGCTTCCAACCCAGGCTTCCCATTATATCCTGAGTGATCACCAAGGATTTTTCTGTTTTCACCCACTACTCTTCCTATCCCACCCCTGCTCCTGCTAACCCCCTGCGAAAACAGGTCTCATTTTGTGGTCAGGCATTCTGGGGAGAGAGTTCTGGTGCTTAAATTGAGGATTCTTTCCTAAATAGATTTTGGGATACAGATGGACACCCCAGGGTCCCTTGGAAGTTTTCCACTACCAGTCCTAGGTGCATTGATTGACCAGGCACACCTGTGAATCTGGCCTGGTTCTTCCTTCTGTTACCCCATCCTTGTGCCAGGCTCTGAGATGCTGGTTTAGCTTTTGAGGCAGTGTGGTGGGATCTGATGTGTCCCTGATCCCAGTATGTGCAGCCTGGGCTTGGGTCAGGCCTTGGGAGTGAAGGTAGGTACCCTTCCTAACCCAGAGGAAAGTACTAGTTCTCCATAGGAGGGACCCTGCCTAAGGAAACTGGCTTCCTGGCTCCAGAAGTGAGCAAGTCTCAGGAGCCTTGGAGAGGCAGGGAACAGATGAGGAGATGTCTGGATGTAGTTTTGATCCCAGGCATTTTGAGGGGTAGGGGACATCCTTAGAGTCATAGCAGTTAGAGGGAAATCCGGGGGTGGTTGTGTCCATGAAGAACTTAAGTTCTGGGAGCAGGCTGCTTCTCCATGCAGGACTGCTGGAGGAGAAAAGTGGGTATGCCCTCCCTTCAGCAGTGTGCCTCAGCCCCAGGCAGGGAATCCTTCTCTCTCCTTAGCAGCTTCCCAGACACCCAGACATCCAGAGCAAACCCTATTCCTCCTGGCCCTGACACCATAGTGCAGAGGGAGAAGGAGCTGCCTCAGAAGGGCAGGCCCTTTCTTTCCTTGCCTGCCCTCAGGACAGGGTGCATCAGGGGCCCAGGCACATGCTTGGCCTGACAGTCATTGGTGAGCTGTTGCTCCTTTCCCCAGTCTTAGTGGGGATAATGCACACCAACAGGGACACTCTGCTTGCTTGGTTCCCAACTTGCTATACCTGTTAGATGCCTCTTCCCCTCTTTCCTCCCCTTTACCTGACCATGTCAAGCCTGGCAAGGGTCATAGAATCTATCTTCACCATCTCTGTTGGGTAAGGTGGCATTTTCCTTGAGGCTTTCATAATATTCCCAAGTAGTTTGAGACAAACTGTTACAAATGGAATTACTAGAGGGATCAGATCCTCCCCAGAGCATGTCTGGGCTGCATTAGCTGGCACTTGCTGATTTGGGACCTGCCTCAGCATTGAGGACCCTTGCCAGGCTCCTTTCAGTGAGATGATATCCCCAAGGTGTCATCTAGCCTCAGTATGGCCCCCTCCTCCTCATGGTGCTATGTAACCTTCCCTGGTACTTGCCCCTCTGCCAGCTGGGCCCATACTCCTATGCCCATTTGTCATGGATGGTTGGCATTGTCCAGGGCTTGGCAGGAACTCTGGGGAGTGTGGACAGATGGAGTGCAGCCACTTGGGCCCTAGGCCTGACTGCGTCACTTGTTACACACCGATGGTGGGATGTTGTCCCCTCTCAATATCTGCTTCCTCTTCTGTAAATCAGAACAAATAATCTTGGCTTCCTAGGAGTGTGGGGAAGAGTGAGAAGTCACTGAAGGGAGATAGGATTACTGTGACCACGGTCATCACCCCACTGTCCCACCTTGGTGACCATACAAGTTATAGGGAAGGATGACAATCTCTCAGGGGTAGGGAGCTATGCATTAGTGTGTCCTGGGAGAGAAGGCTGGGGCTATGATGTAGTAAGATAGGCTAGACATAATCACCAGCAGAGGGCAGGCCAGCTTGGTTGACCCCAGCTCCTCCCCTTCAGCCATCCTCATCCTGCCCTCCCCTGCAAGGCTTTCTGTGGATATTTGCCTTATTGGTCTCTCTTGGATTCTCCAACTCAGCATGTGCCTTTGGAGAAAGATGGTGGGTCAGATGGTGCCCTTCCCTTGAACTGTCCAGTGGAATTTGCAGATACCTCTTCTTACTTTGCCTTGGAGTACTCTAGGAAGTAGAATGTGGGCAGCGATGCCGGGGTGGCTGTGAACTGAAGGTTGGGTGGATCCTGGACTGTGAGGCTGGGAAAAGGCATGTAAAGCAGAGAGATCAGCAAGAGCAAAGGGGCGGGGGGTCTTGGGAGAGAAGAACCAGTGCACACAAGCGGCAGTGGAGGACAGAGCTAAGGAGCCCAGCTGTGAGACCCCAATATGGGGGTCTGGGAATCTGGGGTTCTTCTGCAGCCTATGGGGAATTGTGGGAAATCTTGTGCTGACTGGGTTTTGAGAACCAGGAGGGAGCTCTTTACTGGGGGAAGTCCTCCTCTGGTCTTTATGCACATCAGCTATGTATTTTTAGGTTAAAGATGCTCACAGTGAAATAACTGCTCTTTTTCACAGTTGGCATTAAAAAGCACAAAATAAGTGTTAACAATTTTAAGTTACATGTTATTTCTTCTTAAACAAAAGCTCCTTTGGGTTCTTGCTGTTTGGTGATGTGGGGAGATAGAAAGGGAATCCCCATACTGGATACAGTGGGAATGGGGTGGCCAGAGCCAGGTCCAAGTGGTGGATCTGCACATGTGTGCATGTATTTGTATGCATGAGTGTGTGTATGCATTTGCATGTGTATACATTCCTAAGAACACAAGCTTGTCAGTAAGCAGTGGGTCCCAGTGTACACTTCTTCCCTAGCACCCATAGGGTTTGCACTACACTTTTATGGGGAGTGATCTTCTTCCCAGTTGCCCTGGGAAGATGATTCAGACCTCAGCAGAACTCATTTGTAGGGAGAGGGGTCTGGTTAATGGTGCAGCCTAGACTATTGCTGGGCAGGGTCCTGATGGCAATAGGAGGTTCCCCTGGTCTTCAATCTCCTCAAGCCACAGGGCCCTGACAGGTCTCCCCACTCTCACAGCTTCTTTCCTCTCAAGGTTATTCCTGACAATAATTTTAAAATGATTTTACCTAGGGCTGGGGGTGTGGCGCAGTGTTGCAGCACTTCCCCAGCTGGGTTCAATCCTCAGCTCAGGTGGGGGGTATTTAACTAATTGTGTGGAAATGTGGGAGCAGAAGAGGAAGGAAATTCAGTGTGGAAGGTAGCCCCAGCTGCCCGAGACAGCACCAAATTTAGCCATGTACACAGAACACTGGGACAAGATTCGGCTCCATTCAGGGTATTTTATTTTCTTCAAGTAGACAATCTTTGACTTTCATATGATCACCAGTTCCTCTCTTTCCCTCTGTACATCTCTTCAAGTCCTTGGCTGTGATTCTGCACGCTGACCTTGGACACATGGGTACTGAACAAAGGGCGAGAGAGAAGGAGATTTGCTAAGGGCTCTGGAGGTGCCTCCCCTCCCAGCAGCAGGGGTTCTTATTTACACATGGTTCTTGGCCAAGGTCCTTTCAAGGCTAGTGCCCATGGGACAGGAAGGTGCAGAGTGCATGGTCCCAGCAGGGCCTCCCTCAGGCCACAACGCTGGCTGTGCCTTCACAGGAATCGTAGCAGCTCCCAGCCTATCTCAGGCTTGGGGCCTGTGGGGACTGGGGGTTGCAGGGGAACAATCTCTTGCCTCTCCTTCCTTCACTCAGCAAAGCCACAGATAATTTATGCTTTAAATACCAAGACATTTAGCTATTGTTCATTCGCTCCTAGGTGAAGAACCTTCTTTAAATACATCACATTTATTTTTCTTAAATAAAAACAAAGCAGAAAACTGCACCAATAACAAGAGGACACTGCAGAGGCTTATGTACAACATATATCCTGCACTAGCCTTGCAGGACTATTCGCCCCAGAATCCTTTGGAGCAGAGGGACAGTGTCATCCGGGTAACGACTTTTACACTCAGCAAGCCAGACACAAAAAGGACCACCTGAAAAAAAATATGTTTTGAAAATCTGCATTTAAAAAAGAATACTCAACTGCATCTGAAACTTCTGTATATTTTTTGTTTTCCTGCGAAACACGATGAGATTTGGCCAAAATTAAAAAAAAAAAAAAGTATGTCAGAGAAGAAAAAACCAGGTTTCAATTTATAAAACATCAGACCAGTAGAAGAAAAACTGGAAACCCAGCTGGTCTAAATTGAAGTAAATCGTGCCACTTGTTTTATTGTGTTGATTTTTTGCTGCATATTTTGAAGCTGTTTAAAAAGAGCCATGAGTGGCTGAAGGTCTGGTTAGTGCTGTCACATGGCTCCTCAGGTCCCAGGTCCAGGACAAATGGGGTACAGAGCAGCTGTGTGTAGGGTATGGCCAGCAGGGATGGCCTACAGTCCCTGCTCTAGCCTTCACTCCTTGTCATTGGCAAGGTCCTCAGTCCAGAATTCAGGTGGTGAGCTGGCCTTCCTCCAGGCAACAGGGACACAGTTGGCCTGACCTGGTCCCAGCTCTGCTGCCTTTCCTCAGCAGTTGGATGCAGACCTCTGTGCAGAGTGGGGCCAGCTCAGGAAGGCAGAGTGAAGGGGCAGGATGATCTTATAATAAACTTGTGACAACAGCTCTTCAAATCTTGATGAGACCTCAGTGCTTTGGAGAACTCTGCCATCTCCAGGTGTGTGTGTGTGTGTGTGTGTGTGTGTGTGTGTGTGTGTGTGTGTGTGTGTATGTGTGTGTGCATGCGCACATGTGCACACGTGTCTAACTACCTAGCAATCTATCCATATATATTTATGTTTGCAGAAATGTGGGGCCAAGGAGGTGGTGGCTGAGGGTTGTGGGGGACATTCTTCAGGCTCCCCATTTCCTGCCCCTGGGTTGGGCTTCTCTAGCACGAGTTGGGGTATGATACCCCATGGGTTTTACCATAGGCAAGCAGGCTGGGCCTGGCTCCTCAGCAAAGGCCAATGTACTTAAGATTGTTCTGTATAATGACATCTGTCACTGCGTCAAAGACAAACTGGATGTTACTGGTGTCAGTGGCACAGGTGAAGTGGGAGTAGATTTCCTTGGTCTCCTTGTTGCGGTTCAGGTCCTCGAACTGCCGCTGGATATAGACGGCGGCCTCCTCATATGTGTTCTGGCCCTTGTATTCAGGGAAGCAGATGGTGAGCGGGATGCGCCGGATCTTCTCTGACAGCAGGTCCTTCTTGTTCAGGAAGAGGATAAGTGAGGTGTTGATGAACCAGTTGTTGTTGCAGATGGAGTCAAAAAGGCGCAGGCTCTCCGCCATTCGACTCTGGGTGGGGGAAGGAAAGTGATGGCATTAGCAAGTATAGACCCTAGACCCTCAGTCCTGCCGGGAGGAAGCCTTCCTTAGCACAGGGTCTGTCAGCTCAATTCTGGTCCCCAAGAGAGCACCATGATTTTGTAAAGTCCTTCCTCTCTCAGGTCAGCTTCCTCCCACACTCTGAATCCCATAGCGTTTCCCATGCCTGTCTCTTGCTTGCCCTACATCCATGCATGGAAGCTCAAATCTTCCACATGAGCTGCTATGAGATCATGTCTCCTTTAAGTCTGGGTTTTGTGCAGTCTTTTGAAATTTTGATCCTGCTACATGGTACTTCTGAAGGGGCAGCCTGCACATCTGTAACCAAAGAATTCTAAGCTAGGAATGAAATGCCTGCCCTGCACCAGGCTCCTCTCCCCACCTTACCTGGCTTTTATACATTGCTAAAGGCTTCCAGCTCTGCTGTATATTGAGGGCAGGATCCTGGCCCTATTGCCTTGTGGCCTGGACTGAGCAGGTAGGCTTGGCCCATGTAGAGAGCAGAAAGATGGCATTCAGGATAGAGCGGTGACCAAATTATAGAACATGGCCCTATTCACCACCCATCTTCGCCTCTCTTCTTTCTGAGGACCTTGAGTAACTCTGGACTTCAAGCAGTATAATGCTTTTGTCTCCCCAATCTACCACAAAACTGACAATTCTCACTTCTGAAAGAAATACTACTGAGAACTACAAGAACTCCTACCTGGAATTACTGCTGGTGAAAGTTGTCCTCATTTTAAGATAAATTGAACCAGCTAAAAGTCCAGACAAGTCTGGTTCCAGTTTAATTAAGATGTAAGGCTTTGGGGCTGGGGATGCGGCTTAAGCGGTTGCGCTCGCCTGGCATGCGTGCGGCCCGGGTTCGATCCTCAGCACCACATACAAACAAAGATGTTGTGTCCGCCGAAAACTAAAAAATAAATATTAAAAATTCTCTCTCTCTTTCTCTCTCTCTCTTTAAAAAAAGAAGTTCTCTGCCCTTGTCCAAATTAAAGATTAAAAAGCCGATTGATATTAGACTTAATAAACCAAGTAATCATATTCTAATCTCTGATAGAAATATTGAAATCTCTAAAAGAATATATAACTTCCATACAAATTAGGTGGAAATGCAGTAAAAACAATAAAGTCAATAAATATAAATTTACATTAAAAAAAAAGATGTAAGGCTTTGGATTGAAGGTCTTTTCTGACCAGATTTTATCACCATTGACCATGGCATTACAATGTAGTTGGCATTAACAGTGCAGACATGAGACACCAATATCACCAATGACTGCAGTAATAATAAATGGCAACTACAGATGGACATGAGGTGATTCCTATTCAATCCTCACACCTTCTTATTCCCATTGTACAGATGAAGAAACTGAGAGCTAGAGAGGCAGGAAATGTGTTCCATGTCCCTTGGTTAGGATCTCTAGGCTTGCTGCTCTTGTAGGTTGGATCCAAGGGAGGTCACCCCAGGGGTAGCCGGGAGGATGCCTCACAGACACCCTGATTTCTATGTCCATCTGGGAGACCATGTTTTCCAAATCTAATCTTGTTCCTTCTTTAGATGATCTCAGAATACAAACTGAAAAGTGGGTAGCCTCAGGTCAGGTGTAGGTGGAAGTGACCTTACTGCAGAGAGAATTATGAGGCAGGGCTCCAATCACAGCAGTGCCCTGGGGAACAAGCACCTCCACAGTTGAACTGGATATGATGTTCCCAAAGGTGAGATCAGTGTTGGTCTAGGAATGTCACATTCGACTGGGAGAGTAATTAGCTCTAATTACTGGAAGCTACATTGTAAAGATAATGTGGAAACAGACCTGTCACTTCTCATAGGAATGTTATAAGTGGAGGCTATGTTTCTGACCCCCAATATTGCATCAGCTATGGTCATTAACACATATTCATTGAGCAGATGCTCGCTGAACATATTCTGAACTCATGGGCCACTGACAGGTCCACATGTCTGGTGATGGGCCCTAGAACTGTGAGCCCTGGGGCTAAGGGAACAGAGGAGCTCGGCAGGAGTACCCAGCTCCATTTAGGGGTGGGCTGGCAGTATGAAGAGGATAGTCTGGTCATTAGCAGGTTGTGGTCATGGGGTTGAAGGGTGGACAGACAAGCACAGAGTGGGAGTAAGGGCCTGGCTCAGGCTCCCTGAATCCTGCTGGATCACCTTGGGTGAGAGTTAGCATGGATTCTGCATCCAGCTTAGCCCAGCTTCTTGGGCAGGAAGAAGAATGTAGCCAAGAAGAGAAGTAGGAATTCACCTCAGCATGCTACAACGGTGCAAGAATGCTGGCCATCGCTCAGGGAGGGCTCTGTGGGTTGATTCTGTGGGGGGGGGCTCAGATTTCCCTGTTCTTCTCTTTTCCTTAGGACAAACCAGGGGAAACCACACTGGCCCTCATGGCAGGCTCCTGGGAGGTGGTGATGGGCCTCAGAGAATAACGAAACCTCTATATGTATGGATGCCTGTCCCTCTTGTTCCATCTCTTGAGTCCTGTCCAGCAGGATTCAGGAGAGCTTTATGGAGACACTGACCCTTGTGTGTGACTTGTGGGCTCACAAAGACATGAAACTTCAGAGTGGGAGTAGACCCTAAACTAGCTGTCTCCATTTAACCCTCACTGATGCTGGCTGAGCCCTCATTGAGTACGAGCAGTGTACCATGGGGAGGTGGAGGTGAACACCTACTCTAGCATCTTTACAAATTGGGAAGGTTGCTCAGAAGGCCTAGAATAGGCAGCATGAACTGGCATGCACCCTTTCAAGGTGTCTGAAGGCCTGGCAAGTGAGGCAGAAACTATGTCCTACTAGGATGTGTCCCTAGACTAGAGGCTGAGGCTCTCAGAGGTAGGAGGGACAGTGGGGAGGCTGAGGGCCCACAGGTAGGTCTCTGCTCAGTGGAAACTGAAAAAGGAGCTATACTCAGAAAGTGGCGCCATACTTGGCTCAAAAAGACCAACAGTAGAAGCAGTGATGGGATCTCTGTCTACTCCTCTGACATGTGCCCAGTCTAGAGTCCCTGTGCCTGCCCATGGGTGCCTCTTAGCCTCAGAACCATGTCACAGTTGTTCCTATGCTCCTGCAGTCCCACATGCAGGCAGGTGGGCAGAGTGGTCTCCTAATAATTCAAACCACAGCCATTGAAAGAGCCATGCTATTTTGGGCTGTGACTCTGGAAACCATATAAAGTTTGCATGAGTATGAGGGAGGTTGGGATGAGGCCATATGCTTTGTATCTCAGGCCTCTTTCCCGCAGTACCACCTACTTGTCCAAGTTCTGCTCACCCTGCAGGGCATTTTTTCCATCTCCTTAGCACATAGCTGACTATTCCCTCTGAACACCATAAGGTCCCAGTCCTTCAGTCTGGTCTTTAGGAGTTCTCCTGCCTTGGTGGGTGTAAACAGCCAGAGGCAGCTTTGTAGTCATCCGATTCTAGTCACTTCTGCCATATCTATCCTTTCTCTGTCCTGTAGTGACTTTCCCAATCAGCCAGATACAAACATGCTCTCATCAAACCCAAGAATCAGAGGAGCTGTCCCTGTGATAACCCCCATCAGGGAGAAGTTTTCCCATTCCACACACTGACAAGCCTAGAGGGGGGCTCTCTTGCTAGGGCTCATGGAGAACACTGTTTTTTCACCAACCACAATGTTCTCTCCCAGCGAGAAGCCCTCCATGCCCTTACCTCTCCAGTTGCCAATGGAGAAGCTGTGGTGGGAGGAAGTACAGTAGCCATTAGTTATTGTGATGCTAGCCCAGGGCACTGATGCTCAACTCTCCAAGATTTACTCACCAGCGAAGTGGCACCTTCTAGGAGGCTGGGGTTTGTCTGCACATTTGTTTATAATAATAACATGGAGCAGACAGTTCCCATTAGAAGCCTGTACAGTGGCGGGAATCTCAGGGCTGGTTGATGGGAAATCAGTGATTTGTAACAAGGTGTTTCAGTGGTTGGCTATAGTCCCCAGGGTGGTGCAGTCATTTCTTTAGCCATTTGCAAGAAGAAAGCCCCTGCTCCGACAGAACCAAATATACCCAATGTCACTGAACCTGTTTTATCTCAAGGTGGTATTTGTTTGGGCCTTGTCTCCCATACCACATTATGAAAGGGACTGATGGCCCATCCCTAAGGGGTTTTCAGCTTGCTGACCTTCAAGTATGTGTCTTCATCTAAAGTACCACTGCCAGGTGCCAGCACCTATAGTAGCCAAACCAGCTCCTGGAATAGTATTCTGAGTGGCCAGTGAGTTAAGGAGCACAATGGAGCTTGTGTCTGCTTAGTCAGGAGCTGAAACCCCTCAGTCTTAATTCCCCAGAGGCTCTACTCATGACACAAAGAGCAGATGTCCCTGGTTATGTGCACAAGGTCTGGGATTCACTTTTTTTTCGGGAGTACCAGGGATTGCACTCAACCATTGAGCCACATCCCCAGCCCTATTTTGAATTTTATTTAGAGACAGGATCTCAGTGAGTTGTTTAGCACTTCACTTTTGCTGAGGCTGGTTTTGAACTTGCGATCCTCCTGCCTCAGCCTTCCAAGCCACTGGGATTACAGGAGTGCACCATTGCGCCCAGCTGGGGTTCACTCTTAGCACAGTGATTGTTTTGCCTCAGACAACTCCTTTCTCCTCTTGGGCCTGGTTCCTTATCTGTAAGATGCCAGGACTAACCTGGTATAGTGGTGCACACTTGTAATCCCAGAGACTTAGGAGGCTGTGGCAGGAAGTTTGTGAGTTGGAACAACTTTGTAAGTTTCAGCAACTTAGCAAGACCCTGTCTTAAAAATTAAAAAGGGCTGGGGATGTAGCTTACGGGTAAAGTGCCCCTTTGTTCAATCCCCAGTAACTCTACCCCTTCCCCAAACAACAACAACAACAAAATGCCAAGCTATTATGAGGAGGCACAAAACTAAACAACCTGGAGCGGATGGGCATTCTCCCTAGCCGCACCACTTGCCCCTCAC